TTTGTCTTTGAGTTTTATGCTCATATAAATTTGGAATTGTAGTACGGCCAGCCCACAAAGCACAAGGTACCTTCCAGGCCACGTGCCCCACACAGAATGTCTCTCTCCCACTGTCTGAAGCCCCTCATCTTTTCTGCCTACATGAACTCAATGAAGTCATGACTTGAAAATCCTGGAAAGACTACCACCCTAGGTCCCCCAAAGAAGTTGTCACCCGAGGCTGCTGCACCTCTTGCAGCAGGTTGGAATCCACTGGTGGGTGTGTTGAGCATCACCTTTGTGCTCTCTGAACGTGCCTCTGCACCATGACAACTCTGTCTCAGTGCCCCTCTGACCTTCCCCTTGGAGTCTGGGCCTTCCACTGCCTCTCTGGGTTTTCCCTCCAGCAGCAAACCTGGTCATGGCTGGGAATGTTCCGAGACTCTTCCTCAGGTACCATTTTACACCATCAGATGTGTTTCAGAGTCATTAGCCCCCACCACCCCTCTACCATTGGGGGTTGAACCCTGAGGCTTTGCACAGAGTTACAACCCAGCACACTCTTTCTTTCTCTTTTCTTTCCTTCCTTCCTTCCTCCTTTTTTATTGTTTAATTTATTTTGATACAAGGTCTGGCTATGCAGTCTGGACTCTTAGGGATTCTCCTGCTTCAGCCTCCCTTAGCACTAGGATTATGGGCATGGGCCACCACAGCCATTTCAGGAACCCATACGGTGTGCCCAGGGTTCAGGGCCAGCACAGCATGTGGTATTGGGGACCTTGCACTTGCCAGGCAGGTGCTTATGCTACTGAGCTATCTCCCCAGCCCCTGGGTGCTTTTCTTACAGTGATATTTTTGTTGCCTTCTTTCTATAAGCTAGCTTGTTTTCTGGCTAGATTTTACAAGAACATAAAAAAGTCCCGGCTTACTTCAGGTCCCCTTTGACATGGCCTGTCTGTAGTTCATGTTTGTATATGTCCCAACAAGATTGCACACCCTCAGCTCAAACCACTGCATTTTCAAACTCTGAGTCTGTCAGCTGTTGTCTGGCAGGTGGTGAACCAAGAACTCAGTCCAGCTCTGCCTCACTGAGAGGCTTGCTCAACCTGGTATCAAGCGCTCTGCATGTTCCTTTTCAGCAGAAGTCTATAGTGTGGTCTCCTTTACCCATTTTCTGGAGTCTCTAAGACTCCAAAATGATAATTTCTGGAGGATAT